TCGGAATGAGTAAACTTTAAAATTAAATGTGCATTACTATTAAACGAAATGATTAAGAAAAACTTGTTGTGTACTTACTTCTTGTCACAATGATCATTGAACACAAAACCTGCAAGTAGTCTTTCCTCACTGCCAAGTGTTGTCCTTGCATCTATGGCTCTGTTCATGAATGGGGACTTCATAGCAGGTGTTGGAGTTGTTTCTCTTTTTTCTCTTTCCACTTTGTTCTCTTTTGGGTCAATGTGATGTTATTCAACTTGCTTACCCTTTCTAGACCTTCTGTCTCTTTCTTCTTCACATTCTTTTTTTTCAGATTCCTCTTCATCCTCATGAACATCCTCAGCATTGTCATTATCCTTATTCATTTGCTCACTTGAACCATCCTCTGCATGCTCAATTCCATTGCCATGTTGCGCAATTATGTCATTATGATGCTCATCATCATCCCCATAAGTATTCACCCCATCATTTGACTCCTGTGAAAGCAACTTGAAGCTTGGCTTTTCATACTGAGTAAAAGTTGGCCTCTCAACTCTTTTCTTCTGAGCCATTTCAATAGCTTCAACTGCTTTGAGCACTTCTTCAGTCCAGAATCCATCATCTGGAGTCAGTGACACTTCAGTTTCATTTTCTTTTTCTTTCTCCTTTTCTGATGAATATGTGTTGAAAAGGCCATGGACTTTTCCCATTAAAATCTTCATCGTCTCATCATCATGTAACACCTTTGCCGCCTGTTGAAATTTTTCATCAAAACTGGCCATGCTTTCTGCAAAATTCTTCGCAGCTGCAACAAACTCCTTCATAATATCCTGCAGTTATTTAATGATTAATTTTAGGATAGTAATTGAGCATTATTTATTTTATTGTTAAGTTTATATTAAAATAATTGTGAACTAATCATACACCTTTATTAGATTAATTTATTCAGTCTTTAAAATTTTTATTTATATTTTTATAAAATTTATTACCTATTTTTTTTAAGTTGCTGCATGTACTCATTAGTTTGTATATAATGCTCATATCTAGATATCATATTTATCATTTTTATATTTACCCAAATTTCTCTGTTAAAATTACATACTACTGTACTTACATTCTTCGGCTCCTGATTGCAGTTTCCCTCAATCTGTATTGCAACTTCTTTTTCATTTGTGATCAGCTTTAGAACTATGAATTCCGCTTTATTAGGTTCATCTATATATCCGTATCCGAAACCTCCAGTTTCAATCTCTTCCTTCTGTCTTTTGTTCAAATTTTGTGTTGTCCACCCACTTATAGATGGAGATGCTCTTTGAACTTTTCTGCCTTTGAACACAACGTTGTCCACGTAAAAACCTACATATGTTATAAGATGTTAGAATTCTGTACTGAATATAATTATTTGATTAATACTATGAAGAAACTGAGTAATAACAATTAGAATTTGTAACTTACAATCAGAAATAATAAAGGCCCTGGGAATTGTCTTTCTCTGCTTTTGCTCCAATAGTCCTTTGCTTCAATTAATGCTTCCAATATGTATCCGCACCAATTCAGATTCTTGATTTTTGAATCATCCTGCAATGCCTTCAGAATGCTTTGATTGGCAAAGCAATTTTGCTTCCCTTCAATAAAAAACGTTACCGGGAGAACCAAAAAATTCTTTTTAAACCATCCTCCACCTGCTTTGTTTTCTTCTATAACCTTCTTCACTTGAGCAGTCTTCACAACTCAATTTTCAGTCTCAAATTGTGATCTCTAATCAGCCACCACGTGTGATGTATTCTCAGATTCAGTGTCAATCAAATTCTTCACATTAATCTTTCCTTTTGGAAACCCCAATGTCACGTGCACTGCATCTTCATTAATCCTCAATCTCTCATTGTTCGGCAGAAGAAGAGACACACTTCTGCTATCAAAATTCTCCACCAACCAATATGCTAACTGCATTGGCAATTGCTTCACTTCAAGGTTCAATAAGGGGCCAAATCCCATCTCAACCACCTCTTTCTTCTGTTCTGCACTTAGATTTTTCATTATTTCTGTTATACTACTCGGAGACATTCTTGTCCACAACTTTGGGTATTTTGCATTCTCTTCTCTCTCTTTCTCCTCTCCGTCCTCCTCAAATTCTTCCTTTTCTTTTGCTTTATTCTTCTTTATCTTCGGCTTCTTCTCTTTTATTGACTCTGCTTGCCTTGTTATTTTCTTCTTTGCATGAACTTCTTTCTTCTTTTTCTGAACTTCATCTTTTTTCTTTTCAATTGTTTCTGAGGTTGTTGATCTTGTAATTTTTCTTTTTGGACTAACTTCCTTGCCCTGTTTCTCTTTGCTTGAATTTCCTTGCTCTATACTTTTCTTAATTGTGCCTGCATTATTTCTCTTTCTTTTCTTCTTATTATTTCTCTGTGCAGCGCGTTGTTGTGCTTCTACAACAATCTGATGTTGTTTAGTTTCCCTACCTTGTTGCTCATTTTCCCTTCCTTGTTGCTCAGATTCTTCTCCAACCTTCTCACTTGTCTTACTGCTATCATTCCTTGTTTCTTCAACATTATAATGTTGCTCAGTTTCAGTCCCTTGCTGCTCAGTTTCCCTCCGTCGGTGCTCAGATTCTTCCCCAACATTCTCAATCATCTTACTGCTACCTTTGCTTGTTTCCCTCTCTTGGTGCTCAACATCAACATTCTGATGCTCCTCAGCTTCCCTCTCTTGGTGCTCAATTTCTCTCCCTTGGTGCTCAGATTCTTCTCCAACGTGCTCGGTGATCTTACTGCTAGCCTTGCTTGTTTCTGCATCCCTTGTTTCTTCATCACTCATCTTTATATCAGCTTCAATTTGTTTTATTAAGTCCATATTAGCCTTTTCCTTTTTTGGAATTGCTTTTGGTTTCATCTTCTTCTGTGGAACCTTGGAAGTTTGTTTTCCCTCTTTTTGGATTTGAGCGCAACACTGGGATCTCACTTATAGATCGTGGATCTAAAATCCTGCATTATTAATTAAAATGAGTAATACATATCAAATCATGATTCGCAAATCATTTCCATACTTAACAAGTACAATATACCTTATTAATTAATATGAGCAATACATATCAAATCATGAGCATACAAAATAGTACTCCCTCCGTAACTTTAAAATTTTCCCATTTCAAAAGTAGGTAGATTAAGAATAGTGAAAAATGATATGAATTATTGAGGGTATGATGTGAAAATAGTGGAATAATGTGGTGGAATGTAGGATAAATCCAAAAAAAGTAGTTGTAATAGTGTATTATTTTAAGAATTATTGAGGGTATGATGGGAAGATTTAGAAATGAGAAGATTTTTTTGTTATGGACGAAAAAGGAAAGTGGGAAGATTTTTAAGTTACGGAGGGAGTATTTTGGAATTCTATTCAATAACAGCATATTCTATACAAACAATTTATATGTAAATGTAGTTTATAACAAGCATATTCTAAGACAAAATTTTCATTGTTTTTTTTTGAAAACATAACACCATATGGTCATTTGAAAGTACTGATCAACTTATGAGTATCAGTTCACTTTTAAATTAACAATTTCAATAACTAACATATTATCACCAACTTTCAGTACTATAAAATTGTGACACATTGTTTTACAATTTGAGCATCTTACACTCACATTATGAGCACACACGCAATGTCCATGCAAACGAATTACAGAACAAATATATTGTGAAACAAAAAATCTACAGCACCTCATGACACATTATTCATGACACAAAGTCTATTTGTTCATTTGAAACAGTGATCAAATAATGAGTATGAGTTTAATTTTAATGGCACATTATGACTAATAAGCATAAGCACATATGCATCATAAGCATATTATTCAATAAGTATAGAAAATTTTAAACACAAACCACTCCATTCATAGATGAGTACTGAATACCAAAGATTGAGTATTTTATCATTTTACAAGTAACCTAATTACAGTATCACCATGTTCTAACTAGTTAGTAATGTATATCACTTAAAGTAGAACAATAACCTTCGTACATTGAACAAAACCTCAATTGATATACTTAATAAACATATATCATGCATCAATATCATAATCTGCTTCATATTTGTCAAAATCATTTCAATCTTTCTATAATTTTCGAACCATGCAAGCATATTGATGAATCATTACTACAATAGAAATTTCAACAGTATAATTTTACATACCTCTCTGATGCTTCTGCAGTTTCAGGCTTATCTGCGTTCTTCATCATCTCATACTCGGAGACTAAGTCCATCGCTCGCTTCAATGCTCAAACAGAAACAACTTGCTGCTCAAAGTCTTCCTCTGTTCTTCAACTTGTTGTTGCTCTTCAACTCTACGAAGAACTCCACGAAGTTGATAAACGTCTGGAGGTTGTCCTCGTTTTTCGAGCTTAAATACGGCGTCTATGAATGCTTGGGTTGTTTTCGAACAAATTTCAGAAGGCAGTTCAGTTTTTGAGAGAAGTTACTTTTCCGTTTTTTATATGTTTAAATCACAGCCTTTGTTTTCGGTTATTGATGTTACCCGATAAAACATTGGGCCAGTTGTGTTGTGGGCTTGATCTGTTAATGGACTTATTTTAATTTGGACCACGGATGTACGGGTGTAGCATATACACGGTCTTTAATCAATTTCGAATACGAGTTGAGTTTTAGAGAGTGTTTGCAATTGCTTCAACTTTAAAAAAGTGATTTTTTAAAGTGATTTTGGGAAAAATGATTAATAGTAAAAGTTGGTAGTGTTTGAGAAAAAAATGATTCTTGAAAAGTAAAAGTTGGTAGTGTTTGGTAAAATAAGTATTTTTTGTGTAATAGAAAAAGTGAGAAGCAGTTTAAAACACCCTTCTACCTGCTTCCAGCTTTTAGCTTTTAAGTGATTTGAAAACACTCTTTTCAACTTTTTTAAGTCAAAAGGTGAAAAACGTTTTTTTAAGCAAACCCAAACACTCCTTAAATCCAGTTGAACTAGCTTCAAATAAAGATACTGCCTAGAATTTTATACGTAGTACGAGTACATCTCAGTCCGGTCACAGTGACATTGTATTCGCCGAAACTGGCGAGCCGCGAGCTCAGCCGAAGGATATGCTTTCCGATGGTCCGATTCTCTACAAACACCCACCGTGTAAAAGAATATCCTTCCAATAGTCCCTTCCCTGTCCCATCAGATTCTGTCTTTTTCCGGCATAACCAGTTGATATACCACTCATAAATTTAACACCATCCAGACAAGCTGCCATCATGCCCACTTCTGTTTCTATAAAGCCTTCTTTCTCTCCCCCCACCTGCTCCCAATCTACTTCTTTACTTCCTTCACATAAACCTTCGATATCCATTACAGTATATTCTTCAAGAACAAGACCCCTTTGCATAAAGACTGGGTCTTTGAAGACTAGGCGAACGCCCTTTGTAGTTGCAGCCTCTCAGAAAATGACCTTTACAGATTACAGAGAAGAAGCGGAAGAAAACACTTCTCCTTTGCTTGAACCTGAGGCGACTTCAAGGCCTAGACGCATTGCACTCTTTGTTGAGCCCTCTCCTTTCGCGTGAGTGATTAGTTCCACTTTAATTGATCAGTTTTTCTGCATTTGATTGTATTCAATACTGGCTTCTTTCCGGTATGAATTAGTTTGATTAGTCTAGTTTGCTGATGATTTGAATATGTAAGTTATTGTGTCTAAAAGAAAGTACGGGCTTATGGAACTATAGAAGAGGTAGGGGAAATGATGAAACTCCATTTGGATTGGATAAGTTTAGTAAATGAAAAGGAAGGGGTGAAATCATTATCCATTATAATGTCACTTGTTTAGATTGCATATGATATGTAAATTCATTAAATAAAAGATTATGGGTTTTAAAAGGGAATTGTCTTCTTACCTGATTACCTCCTCCCATTTGATCTCAATTTGGAGGGGTGTCAATTGAACGAAATCCAAGGGTGCAGGGTATCCACCCATTAGCCTCTCCCTGTATTTACTTCATAACCAAATTACCAAACAAAAGGAAAGATGAGTGTTTTCACTCCTTTCCCCCCTCAATTCAAACAAACCTAAGGATTTTGATTTAAAAACAACCTAGCAAGTTTGCTGTTGCATATAACCATATGTTGGAACTTATAGTAGCTTGTTAATCTTCTTAGTCCATATGGGCAGTCTCCTATTTCATGAATTCATGAATTGTTGGCAAGTAATTTTATACTATTGATTAGAACTACTCTGTATTATTTAATGCCACTGACCCGAGTTGCTGTAAGGTATTGTTAATGATTGGGATGGTGGTGAAAATCTGAAATCGCTTTCCTGGTCGACACTTCCACTAGTGTATATTTATAGGTCTTCGTTTCCAATCTTAGAACCCTGTCTTTGTATCACTATTGTTTTTGCGTAGGTAGGAAAAGCTTTATATTATAACTGTGCTTCTAATTTCAGTTGTATTTATTGGCAAAATTTGGTTCACATATCTGACTAGTTTGGCCTCTAATTTTCTTTGACAAACATGCAGTTATGTGTCTGGATATAAAAACCGGTTTCAGAATTTCATTAAGCATCTACGTGAGATGGGAGATGAGGTATATTCTTTTACTTGCATCAATCTAATTAATGTAAACCCAATTTGGTCTTTATAAACTGTATATGTTTAAACTGTATTAATGCTTGGAATTTCATATTTGACCTGTGTTGGACTAGTATTTGAACACCTCCTATACGATTAATCTCAAAATACCCTCACGACCCACACCTCATTCGGATGGTGCATCTTTGTATTTTTTTGTTCATGAAAAGAGTAACCAAATATTGTACTCCCTCCGTCCCCGAAAGAAGTTCCCACTTTCCTTATTTGGATGTCCCTATTTTAAGTTCCCATTTCCTTAAATGGAAAGTTATCTACATCAAAACAGTGCCAAACAGTGCAAAATAGTGTCAAACAGTGTCAAACAGTGTCCAAACAGTGTCAAAACAGTAAAATTTACCCCTGGTAAGTTTACTTGCATAAAAGTGTGTGAAAGTCAAATGGGGAACTTCTTTCGGGGACGGAGGGAGTATATGTTTGTTTGTTATTTCATAATATGACAATGTGGGATAAACACTTCAACAAACTTTATCATATACGAAGTACTATTAGAAACAATAATAAATTTCGAAATGCTGAATAGGCTTGTTGGTTGTGTCATGCAGGTAATGGTTGTCACAACACATGAAGGGGTGCCCAAAGAATTTTACGGAGCAAAGGTGATAGGATCACTGAGGTAGTGGTTGTTTGTTTCATATGTTTGTTATTGCTTTCTGAACGTGTGTGCGCGTAATGTATTCATATGTTATTATTATCACTCTATGAGATATGTATGATGTTACTTATATTTTGCATTTGTCTGCTCTAGTGGGCTTCCGAACGATTTCATTCTCCTAATAGTTTCTTTTTCAAATCCCTTCGCAGCTTTCCCTTGCCCTGGTACCGCAATGTTCCCCTGTCACTAGCTCTCAGCCCAAGAATAATCTCAGAAGTTGCCCGATTTAAGCCTGACATAATACATGCATCATCTCCTGGCATAATGGTAAGTGTTTTTAATGTCTCTTTTTTGTACACTTTATCCCGAATAAACTACAAAATATGTGTGTTCAAATTCTGATTTGCAAAAAGCTCCATTAAATTTGAAATTAGACCTGTAAAGATTATAAACAAGGGTAGCTACTTTGGCCTGCAGTAGCGGCACTGCTCCTATCTCCAGTGTCGGAGGTGGCAGGGACAGATTGTGGCATCCCCGGGTGGACAGCGATGCTAGACAATAGCACCTGACACTGGATCGTAGTACCCATAAGATAGTAGCAGCCGCTATCATCCATGGGGCCAGATAGTAGCACCAAGCGCCCCAGTGGTGGCGCTAGATCATAGCAGCCACTGGATTGTATCAACAATCGCCTGAGGCTGTACCACTAGAAGATGCTACTAGTCTACTACTACTACACCTATGGGTACTGTTATACTACTATTGTTGTCCTTAAGAAATATTGATGATGAGGTTCTGCATTTCTAAATTTGATCATGTATTACTATGTCATTCTCCCTTTCTTTAAACCCCTTTGCTTAAATATTATTCAAATGCTTTGGGATTGCATTTGAAGGTCTTAACTGGAAGTGTTCTCCTTTTCAAGTTACTAACCGTTTTTGTTTTCTTTTTCTAATATCATTTTGTAGGTATTTGGAGCCCTCATAATTGCAAAACTGTTATATGTTCCTCTGGTTATGTCTTATCACACCCATGTTCCTGTGTATGCTCCCCATTTCGCCATTCTAGTGATATATTCACAATGAAATTTCCAATAACTTCCATACATTGCCTTATTAGAAATATTGTGGTAAACCATTACGCGTTTGTTTGGAATATGGAAAATGGTAGGAAATAAAATAGAGGGAAAAAATAGGAGAAAATTAGAAGGAAAGATAATGTTGAAGAAAATAAAACATTGGTTTAAACTCAATTAATTTATAGTTAATTCTTGTCCAAATTATTTATTTATTTATTTATTTATTATTTATTTGGAATATGCAAGTACTATGCAACCTAAAAATATGTAAAAAAAGGGGTAATTTGAGTTTGCACCCCATTTTATTGTCTAAATTGGACTTTGCATCCCGTTTTTAAAAATCTTTGTTTTTGCACCCCCAACCCCATATGAAAAGACAAAAATGCCCTTGGATCAAGAATGTGTTAAAGGCCAACAGAATTATTAATGCAGGGCATTTTTGTCTTTTAATATGGGGTTGGGGGTGCAAAGACAAAGATTTTTAAAAATAGGATGCAAAATCCAATTTAGACAATAAAATGGGGTGCAAACTCAAATTACCCCAAAAAAAAACTTAAAAACACTAGTCGTATTTAATTTTTCTTTGCATCATTTTCTTTAGCACTTTTTCTTCTTTCCCTAGCATTTTCCGCTATTGGAACAGGCAAACATAGCCTTAATGCTAAGCTGATTGACTTCTCCTGCAGATACATTCCAAGATATACTTTTAGTTGGCTAGTCCAACCTATGTGGTTAGTTATAAGTAAGTGGGCTATTTCTTACCTTGAAAGTCAATACTCTATTTGTCTCTTTTATTATTGTCTATAAACAAAGTTCTTGCCCCCCCCAGAGTTTCTTCATAGTGCTGCTGATCTTACACTCGTTCCATCTGCTGCCATTGCAAAAGATTTGGAAGCTTATAAAGTTACTGCAGGTGAAAACAAATATGTCAACTTGAGCTCATTGCTTTTGATAAATTGTGGTATCCTTACTGAATTTTTTTATGACAATCTATTGCTTTTATTGACACATCTTATTCTATTAATCACTCTGTATCTGCTTATTTTCAGCTAATAGAATTCGTCTCTGGAATAAGGGTGTGGATTCTGAAAGATTTCACCCTAGATTCCGCTCACAAGAAATGCGATTAAGACTAAGGTAGGGCTTTTCCTTGTAAATTGATATTATTTGAAACACTAGTTCCATTTCGGTTAGTGCCTGATTAAATAATTTTCCATTTCATTGTACTCATAATTAGCAATAATGAACCCGACAAGCCGTTGATTGTCCACGTTGGGCGACTTGGGGTCGAGAAGAGCTTGGATTTCCTTAAAAGGTGTGTTTTGTATTTCTCAATCATTATTCCAGTTTCAATATGGGTCAGTACAAAGACGTTTGCTGTTGTCTGTGATATTTTTTTGCAGTACAAGGACATTGGTTACCATTATTTTATTTTGGGATATTTTTTGCAGTACAGGTTTCTTTCAGAAGTGTTAGTTATATATTTACGGAGCATATATTAAGCAGATAAAGAAATATACATTAAGCAGATATCACTTCTGTATCTGGAATTTGACTCATTAGGTGCATGTCTGGAACAGGGTGATGGATAGACTTCCTGATGTTCGGATTGCTTTCATAGGAGACGGACCATACAGGTGTGGAGCAATGGCATCTTGAAAGCTTTGCTATTATTCCTCAGAAATTCTGAACTTTCTCTTCTTGTTTTAACTTTCCTAGGAATATACATGGACACACACTTTTACACAAATGCTCCAGAACCCGCCATTGGATACCTTACAAAACCCACCACCCTTAAAAAATTGCAAAAGTAACCCTGAAGAGGATGTCGGGTATGATAAAGGTGATGAATGTTGGGTCTCCCTAAGGGTATGTTGGGTGGAGACACTTCGGGACGTTTTGGTACTCTCAATGAAGTGGTGGGTTATTTCGGTTCACGATGGTGGGTTTCGAGCCAGGTCTCTCAATATATGTGTCAGTGCGTAATTTATTTCAACCGTTAGATCTTCAATTTATGACTACAAACTTGCTTTCTAACAATCTGACCTTTATGGCCTGTTTGTTTGGAGTTAACTTAGGTTATTGCAGGTTCAATTTTTAGTTAACCTTGTTTGTTTATATTTTTGAAACAACAACCTAGGTTATGGGTTAACCTCACTCAACTCTCGAGAACCTAGAAAAACCTTAACTTGAAGAACCTCCGAAATGGGGGGTTTTGGAGGTTAAGTTCTTGGTTAACATAAAATGAGCTAGAGTACCTTCATCCAAACAACATTTATTCCATTAACATAGGTCCACCTCATTTATTTCCAAACACTATTTTACGCATGAACCTAGGTTCACTTAGGTTAACCTAGTTGTTATTAAAACTTAGGTTTACTTTATTGCACTAGGTTTACTTAACTTCACTCCATCCAAACAGAGCATTAGGATTTACTCCGTAGTAATGGTTACGATTGATTTATCCTTAAAAATGGAGTTATCTTCGGAAAATTTGAATTCTTGACATGAGCTTGCAGTTTAAATTACTCCATAGTTCTTAATGTCAATGAGTGAAAAAATCTTTGTTGTTGAATTATCGTTTTTGCTCATAATTGAAGTGTGGCCTCATGTATGCATGCAATTATGTATCCTCAAAGTTGCATAAATTGCAAATCTTGGTGACATTGAGCATTCAGTTTGGATCCTCAAAGTTGGTTCCAAGTTTCGAAATATACAATACACGTTACAATGCATTAGTTTCATGGGACACAGAAAATCACCTACAATTTTAGCATATACTATCTACTACTCCGTAAAAGCTAAAAACTGTGATTTGTAATACACACTTTAAGAAACCTCATAGTAGAACTCGTCCACTTGAATTTAAGTTTGTTGTCTGATTGTTGTAGAGAGGAACTGGAGGAAATGTTCATCGGCATGCCAGCGGTGTTCACCGGGATGCTACAAGGGGAAGAGCTGTCTCAGGCGTATGCCAGTGGGGATGTTTTTGTAATGCCTTCAGAATCCGAGACGCTCGGGCTCGTTGTTTTAGAGGCCATGTCGTCTGGACTTCCCGTAGTAGCTGCTCGTGCAGGAGGACTTACTGACATCATTCCAGATGACCAGCATGGAAAGACTGGCTATCTGTTCAGTCCAGGGGATCTTGACGACTGCTTGAGAATACTGGAGCCTCTCTTGTCTGACCATGAACTGAGAGAGACTATTGGCAAAGCAGCAAGGGTAGAAATGGAGAAGTATGACTGGAGGGAGGCCACTAGAAACATTCGGAACGAACAATATAGTGCTGCCATTGGGTTCTGGAGGACAAAGAAATCCCAGTTTCTCAGGCCCTTCCAATGGCTATTTAAGCGAGTATTCCAGGCCCCACAGATTGAATATAGGTGAAACAAAACGGTCTTTGCATTCTTCTCTTGCAAATTATGTACATTACCGAAGTAGCGTGCTGTAAGATATACTCCGTATCATGCACAGCTGATTGCGCTTGTGCCATTCATGTTAGTTCTTTGCCTCTTGTTAATTCATTTGAATTGGTAATCCCATAATGATTGGACTGCAGTTCATTCCAACTACCCAAATTCCAGCTTAGAGCGCCATGTGGTTCTCAAACATAAGTCTTCTTCCCAGATTATCCAACGATGTTTATATCCATTAAACATCTCCACAATTGCCTACATTAAACTTCTAATTTACTAATGGCAAGTGTCCAAGATGATCGTGCCAAAGCTTATATGAGTCTATGTCCCAAATTTCATCGTTGGTGACAACATAGGATTCAAAGATCTGAATAGTGGTGACATAAAGTCCACTAGACTTACTCATTAATTTCTCTAGTATGCGCTTTCTTCCGCATTCATAAGAGGTAATGTAAAGATACTCTATACCATTCTCACGGTGAGTTTCCACATGAAACCCATTATCACGAATATCTTTAAAACTTAACAAGGTTCGGGTAGCTCTAGGTGCATATAGAGCGTCTGTGACGATGAATCTTGTGCCATTAGGCAAAATAAATTGGACAGTACCTCGCCCTGTTATTACGTTTGAAGATCCTATCATTGTAGTCCAGAAGAATTATAGGTTATTAATTTAACAAACAATTGTCTATTTCGTAGGATAGTGTGTGTGGTCCCACTATATACTAAACACTCAAGTTATCCTCGACTCATTCTTGTATAATGAGGACATAGAATATAAATCCGAACCCAAAATTTAAATATTGTTTGGATTTTGAATCCAATTATTAAGGGAAAAACCATAATCGATCATGTAGTGTCCAACATAAAAGAAATACAAAACCACACACAAATAGTAAAAGTATTCAACAGTCCATGAGCAGATAAGGAAATTAAATTCAACCAGTCAAAGTCGGGTGTATCGACTGACTGAACGGTGTCCTTGCGGCCAAAATCATCAACTACGACGTTAACGTCAACCTCATTGTCTTCGTCGGCCACAAAGTGAGGTTCCTGTTCTTTAGCCTCCCGATACTTTTTGTAAGCGGCTGCAATTTTATTATTTGCTTAGCTATAGCAGTGACCTGCAACTCCACATCTATAACAAGGGTCTCCATCATTTCTTTCTCGTTTGAATGAAGGCTTTCCGGATGCATTGCAGACATTTGATTTTGCACCCTCATCTCTTCGCCATACATTGGAAGATCCTCCACGACCCGGAACGTGACCTCCACAACCCCCACGGCCTCCACGACCCTTATTGCCCCTCCCACGTTTTGAATTTTGCCCACGTGAGTACTGGTTAGCACGCCCCTCCCCCTTTGCATTGAGTTTCTTTCCAGTTGCAATTTTGCCATAGTTAGCTTCAGGAATTTTCTTTGTCCCAACTGGTCTGTCATTGTTGTTTAAGAGAACCTCATTGGGTCTCTCAGCCACTTGGAGTAGATTAATCAATTGATTATAAGTGGTAAGCCTTTTGTTGTCATACTCCAACCTATACCGGTTCGCTAGTATAAGTGCCGAGGTAGGGAATGTGGAAAGTGTTTTCTCAATCATTTCACCTTCTGTGATTACTTTGCCACAAAAGTTGAGACGTGCTTTCAGGCGTAACAAATCTTTGTTGAAATAGTTAACTTTCTTATAGTCAACAACAACAACATCCAAGCCTTAGTCCCAAACGATATTGGGGTCGGCTAACATGAATCGATACATGATATCACCAAAAGGAAAAGAAAGAAAATAAAGATAAAAAAGATAAGCTATTATAAAAAAAGATAATATAAAAGAGATGAATATACATATAAAAGAATATACATGTTAACTTTCTTATAGTCAACGAGACAAATTTCATTCCAATGGACCGTGAGCTCTGGGAGCAACATATCATGAATGGATTTGTAATACTTACTTTTTAGGCGTGTTTGACATTTAGCAGTAAGCCAGTAAGCATACATCAGATTGCCAATAGCGGATTCAATTAACGAGTTTGACTAGCGAAATAAGTTGACGGGTTGTCAGAAGATGTTTGGTAATTTAGCTTTTTCGTCATAAAAATCAGTAGAATACGCCATATTTTAAAACACTAACCCAAAACTCTCCTATTTGAAGCGTTTCCATTTCATTGGTTTCATTCGAAAATGCTAGGACCTAGGGATGTCAAAAAACCCCGACCCGCAATGACCCGCAATGACCCGCAATGACCTGCCCTGGCCCGAGACATTTGGGACTGGTCCGGCCTGCCCCGTCCCGCCTATACAATGGGGCGGGTCCGGGTATTAGTATCGACCCGACCCGCTCAATATAAGTATACATATTTTTTCTTAAATTATACTGCAAATATACTTCAACATACATATGTGTATACAATAAATCATAATTTTTTATCGTATAATATTATATATATATATATATATATATATATATATATTAGAATGAGATGAACGGTGGATTATCAATGTCTTCTTTATATATATCATTTTAATACATATATTCAATTATTAATATAATTAAATAGATTAGCTATTCAAGTCTCAGTAATTTTCCTTAATTTTTGAAATTTTTAGCGTATCATGAATTTGATTTAATATATTAATTTTAAATTATTATTTAGAGATAAACTTTATGTAGATTCAATGGGTAACAACTTCCCACAAATAAAAATACATGCTAGCAAATTAGGTTACGACGGGGCGGGTCATGGGTCAACAAGTTTGGACCCGTGCAGGTCACGGGGCGGGTCCGGGTCTTGCAGTACCCGCCCCGCCCCGCCTCGACCCATTTCCATGCCTACTAGGATTAGGACCAACCAGTTATTTACCAAACAACATTTTCATTAATTGAAAATGCTAAAATTGGTTAAATCGTCATTTTTTGCAACGCCATTTTCCAAACACCACTTTTGTTTGATTTAACATTAGAGCATTTTGTTCAAATAGATGGTTACACCTAATTTTAAATTTTAAATAATCTTGCAGCTTAAAATTATTCATCAACAATGATATTTTTTTTAACATAAAAGATCAGCTTTTATATTAATTTCGAAAAAGCATACAAGACAACTTTCAGACAGTTATTACAGATCCAATTGCAAGCCCTGGGAATAGAGTTAGAGTCAACTACCTCATATAAAGAAACATGGTTCACTAGATACAAAATTAAAAATTTTAAGCCTAAAACGATCGGAACCGAAATACTGTCTAACAAAAGTATTCCAAATATCCAAGTATTCTATACTAAACTGCTCGAATTAAAATAAACACAAGTACTATCAAAGCAGAGATAATACTGGAAGAAAGCCTTTTAACAAAACTCTTTTTGACACGGAGGTGGTTTCTGGAGGAGGACGAGCTGCTGAAATATGTGTGAAGACTAAATTCTTCTTCTTACTTTGTTTCAAAGAGACACTTTCCATCATTTTCAATGGAGCCAAAGATTCATTATTTTTGGTTTGAGAAACGAGAGAATAATCCAAAATGGTTCACTAAACTGTCTACGCTTCTTTATTATGAAGCAGTAGTCAGTCCATGCGATTTTTGACGCGCTTTTTCACCTTGGATCATCCGGAAACAATCTCTCTGTGCTTTAGTACATGGGTAAGGCTGTGTACATCCGACTCCACCTTACCCACATGGGTGGAGCCTTTGCAGCATACACCGTAGGTGATGATGATGATTAAGCGTTATGCTCATTCGGTATGTGAGAGCGATGGCGCAAGGGTTGGATTGATCTGCCAGGTCAATATCGTTGGAATCTAGTCTATACAGAGCATTAACGTTGTCATCCATAATCTATGTAGCACCGGAGATGGAGGAACAACGAAGGACCAGAGACGCCTGAATTCTGACGGACCGGAGCGCCGGTGATTGGGCAACCCAAGTGAGACTCGAACAAATCAGGTGGCAGCAAGATGAGATTTGCTCTTGGTCAGATTGCATCAATGGAAGAACTCTGCTCGTCGGTTGATGGTGAAGCTCGGAGCGATGGCGGATGATGAAGATTAAACGGTGACGTCGATGGAGAAGGTTCAACGTGAGAAGAAGACTCAGAATTGAAGAAAATTACAAAAATATCGGGTGTATAGGTACACCCAATATTTTTTAGTATTAAATACTCCCTAATAATTTAATGTTGATAGTGACATTTTTTGGTCATGTGGATATTGACATATAATTGTATTGATAAATATTACTGCTTAACAATTACTTTTATGTTGTGTTGTTATACATATGCCAGAAAAGAATATACTGTTTCTGCATGTGTTTCCAAAACCATAATTGGTAATTACTATTTTCTACATTGATGTTAGGGTATGTTTGGTTCAAGGTGATATCTTATACAGGGCGAAATATGATGCCCGAAATGTGAGATACCTGTGTTTGGTTCGCTGGTTTAAATTTTTTGGGAATGTTACATTCCCTAAAGTGGAAAAGGTGATCACATGAATGGGCATGTGAAACCCACTAGAGCCTTAGGTTATGTTAGATTCCTGGTGGCTTATTAATTTTCTTCCAAAAAACCCATGTTTGATTAATCTAATATAAGTTCTTAACTTCTGATATATCACTCTTCATTTTGTGATTTTAAAAATTATACTGTATTTTTTCATTATAGTTGTTTGGAATTATTTATACAATTATACTATATATTGTAAGCTAAGGATATTTTCTTTTGAATTGTTTTCAGTCCCAGACTAGACCAGGTTAAACAGACTTAAACAGACCATACCATACTTAAACAGACCAGACCAGATCAGACCAGATCAGACTTCCATAGTTATAAAATATATTGAGATCAGACGTTTACCAGACCAAACCAATTTAGACCAGATCAGACCAGACCATCAAATTTCAGTCCAAAAGAAAACATCCTAATACTATATTTTTTCAATAATCTTTGTCACTTGTGCAATTAAACATATTTTGCTTAAAATTATTTACTAATGCTCAATAATATTAGTCATTTGTGCAACTAAATATATTTTGCTTAGAATTAATTCAATTAGTTTTTATTTTAATTATGGGAAAATAATTTTAAATAATACCAACTATAACCCATAAACCAATAATAATACATACTTTGAAAATGATTTCTAATAATACCAACTATTTAGTATAGACCAAAAATAACACGAAATCACTTTTTGATAAGAAATTTGTTCATTTAAGACATCAAAAACAAATAGAAAATTATCAAATAAATTATATTTGGAAATACATTCACTTATTTGATATTTTGATAATAGTTTTTGATGGATTAAATAACTAAATTTTCATTGAAAATTTGCTCTATATCACTTTTGGTCTATATTTAAATAGTTGATATTATTAAAAGTAATTTCTAAAGTACGTATTATTCTTGGTTGATAAAAGATAGTTTGTATTATTTAAAATTATTTTCCCTTTTAATTATTACTAAGATGTTTTATTTTTCTATAGTTTTAATTACTTTAATTATAGGTTGTAATAAGTTTAATGTGTTAAGAGACAAATATTTAAAGGGCATTCAAGTAATTCACCAAATATGCAATATAAAATATCATTCAACCAAACAACTTAATGTTACATTCCTTAAATCGTAACCAAACACAAATGAGTTATACATTAATCGCATTCCCATCTATCTTGCATACCCAGTAATCTAACATTCTCATAGTAATCTGACACTCCTTGAACCAAACATACCCTTTAATGGTATTATTAAGAAAGTCTCACAGTTTCAATAAATAACGCAATTATTTAAGATGTTTTTTGTTGGATTGGTTCTAGTCCAGACCAGATTAAGTCCAATTATAATATATCATATCATATAAAATTATACTTCGAGAGTTGTAGAATACAAATTTCTATATAATTAAAAACATCCTTAGAGATCGTTTGATAATACTGAGATTGATGGATTGACTGAACTTGAAATTAATCAAATTCTGATGGTAATGAGTGTATTAGTTAAATCCGTGAATTTATGAAAATGTTAAATATTTGAAATATACGAAATACTTTATTAATAGAGTAAAGAAAAGTAGAATGATGTGGTCGGTAATGAGTTGCTAAAGTGAGAATAAAATAAAAATGAAATAGAGCATGTTACTAAAATGGCATGAGACAATAATATAAGGCATTAATGTAACTCCTTCCATACTTTCAACAAATTCAATCTAAAAATCTTCAAACATATTTACTTTAATTATTTCGTTAAATAATGGGAAAGTTCCTGAAATGGGACCAAAAATGTTTGTAAATTCCAAAATAGGACTGTCATGTTTTTATTCCCAAAATAGGAGTAATTACTGTCAAGTTTGGAAAATACTGTCATGTTTAAAGTCTGGTACTGCCAAAACATGACAGTAATTAGTCCCATTTTGGGAATTAAAAACATGACAGTCCCATTTTGGAATTTACAAACGTTTTTAGTCCTATTTAGGGTAAATTCTCTTAAATAATCCAAAAATAGGGTGCTTATGTTTATTCCCACTCGTCGTGCTAATAAGAAGCCCTGCCTAAGTAAAGTACTTCGTCTAGAGGCAAATAACCTATTCAGCTTTCGACGAACCGCGAACGCCCCTGTCCTGCGTCAAGGAAGACGTAACCCACTGCCGGACTGCGTCTCCTCACTCTGCCTCGCCGCTTCACTCCGTTCAGCCTTCACTCTTCAGGTAATCCTCGTCTCCTCCGGCGTGAAATGCTTACTAAAAATGGTTTACGTTCATGACCGGCCCTGCTAATTTATCTACCAAAAGAAAACAGGAATTTTTTTTACTTAACACAGTTTGAATTTGTGTAGGCGGCAGGAAAGAGGATGCGCCCCGGCGGAGCCGGAAAGATGCAGGCTTCGTCGTGGAGGATCGTCCAGCAGTTGGGAAAAACAGGCAATTCGATTTTCAGCCTCCTCTACCTATGGAGGATGATCCGGCCATACTTACCGCATCAGCTTCTCCACCTTCTTAACCAATGGACGCTCAAGCTCACCCTCTTCGCCAACCCGTACATCAGAATCTCAATCCACGAGTACATCAAGCGGAATATCCGGCCGCACAGCGCCTACGCCGCCGTGGAGGCTTACCTCAGCACGCGATCACTGAGCGAAGCCAACCGACTGAAGGCGGAGACAGTGACCCGGCCCGACGGCGTTGGGGAACGCCTCGCCTTGAGCATTGCCGAATCCCAGAGTGTCCACGACGAGTTCCTCGGGGCGAAGGTGGAGTGGATCGCCGGGAGAGTCAATCGTCGTTCCGAAAAAGGAGACGAGCCAGAGAACAGATGTTACACACTGGTTTTCCACAAGAGGTATCGAGATCTGGTCTCAAATGCATACCTGGATCACGTGATAAGGGAAGGAAAGTTGCAGACTACAAGAAGGAAGAGGCAGAAGCTGTACACGAATAGCCACCATTCCGGCACCGGCTGGAGCCATATCGTGTTCGACCATCCCGCCAGCTTCGAGAAGCTGGCCATGGATCCCGAGAAAAAGGAGGAGATTGTTGAAGACCTAATGTCCTTCAAAAACAGCAAGGATTTATACACAAGGATCGGGAAAGCTTGGAAGCGGGGGTATTTACTGTACGGCCCGCCGGGGACAGGGAAGTCCACTCTCATAGCCGCAATGGCGAATTTACTGCATTATGATATCTATGACCTAGAGTTGACCTCCGTCACCAACAACAAGCAACTCCGGCAGCTATTGGCGGAAATCACCGGTAAATCAATCGTAGTGATCGAGGACATTGACTGCTCCCTGGATCTTACTGGAAGCAGGAAGAAGAGTAAAAACCCCGCCCCTGAAAAAAGCAGCAACAGCGAATCGGATTGTCCCGGGGTCACTCTGTCTGGATTGTTGAATTTCATAGATGGATTGTGGTCATCTTGCAGCGGGGAGAGGATCATCGTTTTCACCACGAACCATGTGGAGAAATTGGATCCTGCCTTGATCAGAAGAGGGAGGATGGACAGGCACATCGAGCTCTCTTACTGCACATTCGAGGGATTCAAAGTTCTAGCTAGGACGTACCTCGAATTGGAAGAGCATCCGCTCTTCGAATCGATTGAAATGCTGATGAAGGCGACGGAGATCACGCCTGCAGATGTTGCAGAGATTCTCATGCCCAAATCGAGCCAGGACGTCGCCGCCTCGGCCGAGCCTGCCCTCCAACATCTAGTTGAAGCTCTCCAAGAGAAAAATGCCATCGCCGCCGGTAAAAAAAACTAGTAGTAGTTCATTACGTACTTAGTTGTAGTTTAGCATCTAGTTGAGATTTGAGAATGGTAATTATCCATTGGAAGCAATTCTTATTCAGTTGATAACCTTGACAGAAAACTGCACAATTTTTTGCTTTTGCCCGTTGACCATTGTTGACTTTTTCATAACAGTAGGCTACTTACAGAAAACAAAGTGCATAAAACAAATACAGACTCTAGCTGTTTAAATTAATTTTTTAGAATTATCAGACATCCAATCCTATACTTTGAGAAATTGCAGCAAAAAAAATGCAGTCACTAATAATTAATGAAGGAATTGCATGGGTTCAAAATTGGTCAAACCTCACTCGGACTTGTAAATTACTAGTTACTAGTTTGTATTTTTAGGGTTAGTTAAAAAGTTCTACCTTAATTAGATGTGTGTCTTATGGAATAAATTTTAATTACTGCAAAATGCATCCATGTTAGAATCAAACGACAATAAAATTAGTGCAACAATTTAGCCACTATGATTTCAAGCTAATTGTTCTATTTTGCAATTTAGAATCAAAACATGACAGTAATTAGTCCTATTTTGGGAATAAAAACATGACAGTCCTATTTTGGAATTTTTAAACCCTTTAGTCCTATTTCGGGTAATATCTCTTGTTCTTTCTACAGATGACTTGATTTTAGAGATCAAAACTGAAGTAACCCAGACTAAAATCAAATTCACTACTTATACGGATTTTTATACTGAAATTATAAAATACTACTCCCTCCGTCCCGCTAAGATTATCTCATTTTACCTTTTCGGGAAGTCTCACTAAGATTGTCTCATACCAAATTTGGTAAAGATTGTGTGGCTCTAAACCATTCTTACTTTATTCCTACTTTATCAATTTAATGTCAACCACACAAACTCACTTTCCTTAATAATCGTGTCACCTTCTCTCGTCCCAATCTTAGTGGGACGGAGGTAGTACGTACTTCATTACTTCACATAGGTATGACGTTATGGGTCTAACATTCTTTTCAGGTTTGGCCTTGACCTTTGACCAGTCCAATTTTAGAGTGGACTTTTATTAAACTACTAACCCTACGTGTTTATTCCAGTCCAATTCAGGTCCAAAATAATATGGCAGTGCCTAGTAAAAAAGTAAAATTTGAGCAAATTAGTTTTATTTTTAGTTTACTCTTTTAATAATAAAAAATAATAATGTACTCCGTATATAACACCCTTGAAGCATCACCGGTCAAAATAAGTCTAAACCGAATGTGAATGTTAGAAAGCAATTAAAGAAATAAATAGCAACTGAGAATTTTCTTAGGGCTCGTTTGGTAGTTTACACGTTAAATCTTTGCACGCGAAGTGATTGCATGCAAAGTATAGAGAATCAATCATTTTGCACGTAAAATAGATTACATTGTTTGGCCAAATGTGTAATTTATTTTTAAATTGCACGCAAAGTCGTTGCAATGCTTCATAAAAAACATGCAAAGTATTTTACCACCATACCCCCATGTAAAATACTTTACATGGTACAGTGCGAAATGTTTTAAAAAAGTTTCCTACAGTTTGCATTAAATAATCAAACCAAACAGTGTAAACAATTTACATCCTTACACTTCGCATGCAAAGTATTTACTTTACATCCTACCAAACGTCCTCTTAACTTAAAAAAAATAGCCATTCAAAGACATGGAGGAGAAGAAACACATATTCCCCGACAATGGCAGTGGGAGAGTTTTATCCAGTGCAGTACCAGACCCTGAATCACCTCACTCAGAAATTATTTGAGATCATATCATGTTTTATTCCCGTAAGATTATGTTGAATCGAGGTGTGAAGGCGCCTGAGGTGGGCCCAGCCAGGGCCGTTTTTTAGGGGGTTAATTAGGTTATCCGGAACAGGGCCTCCATATTTATGGGGCCCCAAAATTTTAAAAATTTATTAGTATTATATATTAATAATAATGAGTACAATACAATTAGTAATGAAGAAAAATATAGATCCATCATTTTTCGTTGGTCCTTTAGTGCTCATTTACTCAAATTGCTTGAATAATGAGGTGTGTTACTTTAAATCAAGAATTAAATAAGTTTTAGATAAAAAAATTTATTTCATTATTTAATATGTATTTAATTGATTTAAGTATAAGTATTTGAATTGAGTTTTTATTGAGTTTTTTTTCTAATTAATGTTAATTAATTAATTAATTACGAAATTAGGGCTGAGTTAAAAGTATTTACCAAAATACTGCTGGATTAACCATGGTCGGGGTAAGTCGCCCAACGGTTGGGCGACTTATAAGTCGCCAAACGGTTTGGCGACTTATAAGTCGCCCAACCGTTGGGCGACTTACCTATTAAATAGGCAGACGGGTTGGCTCGCAGACAGAACGCGTTTATTCCCCCAAATCCCCCCAAACCTCTGCTGCAGCGACGACGGACGAGCGACGAGCGACGAAGGACGACCCATCTCCAGCTCCGGCGAGCCTCCTTCTCCGTCGACCCCATTCCGGCGAACCTCCTTCTCCATCTTCATCTCTCTTTCTTCTTTCTTCTAGGTAAATCAAAATCCATTTCATCTCATTTTGAACCTAGGGTTTTGAATGTTAAAAATTTCGAATTTTTGTATTATGAATTGATTGTGAATTCAGTTGTTGTGAAATGTGGATATGTATGAAATGTTGAAATTTGATTTTAAATTGATTGTAAATTTTAATGTGTATTTTGACATTTGGGCATTTGGATAGACTTGATTTTAGCTAAATTTGGATATTGAAATGTAGACGTACTTGAATGTAGTTATCAAAATTTGGGTAGTTTCATATTGAGATGTGAATTGTTGGTCAATTTCGACTTTTGAATATATTACAATTTTGGTAGCTTTTTTATTTAGGAAATTTGAATGTGTATAAAGTGTGTATATTGATGCGTACTCAATTGAATTTTGGACAATGAATTGTTATTAGAATATGGATTTCTCAAGCTTCCCAATCGTGTGTCATTGGGGAGGGAACTATTATGAGGATGCTGGGCAAATATGCCATGAAGGTGGCAGAACGAGCTTTGTCATGGTTTCTCGTGGCGCTTGCATGGTCGAGATCCTTCAAAAAATACATGCAGCGACAATGATTCATCCCGGCCGTTCATTGCGGTTGAAAATGAAATTTCCCATGAACGGGGGAAAGTACATGCTTATGCCGCTCATTGATGAGCTAGCTATAACAAATATGTGGGGCATAATTCAGATGGAGGATATGTCGTCGCTGGAGGTATACATTGAGGAATGCTTTGACGCTAATGCTACTCAATCGACATCAAATGCTGGTGTATCTAGGCATGATGTCATTGCAGGGGTGAATGCAGGGAAGTCGTCAAAGGTTCCTGTACTAGACATGGTTATACAGGAGGATGGCAGGTATTTGCACAACGGTGCATCATTTGTGGATGGGCAGGGAAGTGATGATGATGCAGACGAGAACATCAATGGTGACGACATGACAGAATCTGATGAAGATGATGGTGATACTGTGACATCAACTGCCCCGTCTAGCCACTTCACTAGAATGTATGATCTCCCTGAAGGTTTTACTGATGCGTGGATGAGTGGATCAGGTGAGAAAAGGTTTACCCCCGATGGTGAGTTTGAGGTCGGTAAAGATGTGGTTGACATTATTCGCACTGATCCTTCTCTTAAAGTGCATACTATCATCGAGATGTTGAAGGAAAAATATGGGTATACGGTATCTTACCGGAGAACATGGATGGGGAAGCAAAAGGCCATAGCACAAATATTTGGCGGTTGGGAAAAGTCATATTTCGAATTGCCCCGTTTCATGACAGCGCTCCAACATTCTAATCCAGGAACTGTTGTTCAGTGGTACCCACCCCCCAATGGTGCGACAGGTTATATGATGTTTCAAAGAGTTTTTTGGGCATTCAAGGCATCAATATCTGGTTTTAAGCATTGTCGACCCGTACTTACTATTGATGGCACACACATGTATGGAAAGTACAAGGGCACATTGCTCGTGGCCATGAGTTGTGATGCGAACAACCAAATTTTCCCAGTCGCCTTTGCAGTTGTTGAATCCGAGAATGGAGACAGTTGGCCATGGTTTATGGCATGTATTAGGCATTTTGTGACTAACAGGGAGTTGTGTGTCATTTCAGATAGACATGGAGGTATTGTTAGGGCAATGAATGAGGTTGGAAGTAATTGGGAGGAGCCTTATGCGCATCATAGGCTATGCATCCGTCATCTTGCTTCAAATGTGCACACTCATTTCAAAGACATTCATTTAAAAAATCTATTTGTGTGGACCGCACGGCAACATCAGAAAAAAAAATTTGATGGTGGGTTCAAGAAGATAGGTGAAATGAGTAGGGATGCACGACAATTTTTGGCCAACATTCCTCCAGAAATGTGGTCGCTGCACCATGATGGCGGGTACAGATACGGTACCATCACTTCAAATCTGGCTGAGGTTTTCAATAGCGTCATGAAAAATGCTAGATATTTGCCCATTACCGCCTTGGTCCAGGTGTCTTTTTACCGGGTTAATGCGTACTTTGTGAATAGGCGTGAAACTAGTAAGTTGAGGCTCACACAAGGCCACGAGTACTCCCCATACATCACAGATTTAATTGAAAAAAATAGAGAGAAGGCAAAGCATCACATTGTCACTCCTTTTGATTTAGGGCGAGGTATATTTCAGGTGGAGACCGGTTGTGGTGGCAGCCCGGTTGTATGTTTACGAAACAAATCACATGGATGCCGTATAGACCTGATATGTTAGCAGAGTTGCCCCCAGCTGGACGAGAGCAGACTCACATATGGCGAGCACGTGTGCCGCTGATATGTTTTGACATTGTTGAGCTTCATTTGCCTGATAGAGTCATGCGACAGTTTGGGTTTGAGCAGGTCATTCCACGTCCTATCGACACTTATGTAGAGCTGCATAAGCTGGATAGGCGTGGGAAACATACAGAGGATTGGGCACTCAGACATGTCCGATACGTGACTATGTGGGATAGGAGAGCTGAGCTAGCCGTGGCTGGGACACCCACATATGTGCCATCAGTTTCAGGAGATTACATGGGATGGTACTACAGCATCACTCGGTTGTTTGTGTCTCCTTCGTTCAGACTCCCTACTCATCATTATCAGCCTAGCTCATTGGCATTGCATCTTACGGTGAGTATATTACTAATTAGTAAAGTAAGTCATTTTATTTATGTAATACTTGTATGTATTTGAATGTAATTGTAATTGTGTTTCGTATTTCAGACCCGAGCTTTGCAGCGCATACATCAGCGGGCTACTGCCACTGTGACTGATATTCCTGATGTGGACATGTATGGACAGACTCTGACAGGCATTGCCTCGTTATGCTCAGATGTCTTGGGTCGAGTAGACTACGGACATCTTATACACATGCCCGCATCTCAGGAGATGGCATCCACGTCTAGTGCAGCCGCGGGTTCATCATCCCAGACGCAACATGAGAGAGTGGTTCTTCAACCACGACAACGCCGTAGGCGTAGACATGAGCAGCAACATCTCCATGACGAAGCTGATGATGGGAACTTGTAGTTTGTCTTTTGTATTATAGTTTTTCTTATGCAATAGATGTTGTAGGAACAATTTACAAGTTTTGATGTATTTTCTCTTGTTAAGTATTCTATGTTGTATTGATGTGTTCGAGTATGAATATTACATGATTATTTGTTATGGCATATATGATGATTGAACTGTGTTATACCGGTTATGATTTGAAAGTTTTTTAGCGGTGTTTATAAGGTGTTTTTTTATGTTGTTGAGAGTATGTGATTATCATGTGTTGTATCTAGTTTGTAACACTTCAAAAGGAGAAAGGAGACCTTATTTGTAGCAAACAGATCGGTCTGGATTGAACCGGGGCGAAAAACAAGCTGATTTGGTGTTTTAGGTAATAGGCACGATCGTGCGTAAGGAAATACGCACGATCGTGCGTGGCTGGCAGTAGCTGCTCGGTTGAAACCATATTTCAGGGCAAAGTCGCCCAACCGTTGGGCGACTTATAAGTCGCCAAACCGTTTGGCGACTTATAAGTCGCCCAACGGTTGGGCGACTTTGTCCTGACCACGGTTAAGGCCCAGCAGTATTTTGGTAAATACTTTTTTTCCAGCATTATTTCCGTAAATAATTAATTAATTAACATTAATACGGAAAAAAACTCGTTTTTATTTTATATTTTACATTAAAGTGGGACCCCAATTTTACATTTGGAACAGGGGCCTCCAAATTCATTAGACGGCTCTACCGCCCAGGTGCCATAAGCAACAAATAACTCACATTTATGCAGTGTCCTTTTTGGGTTTTTTGGGGTTGGAGAAACACATTACTCACAAAATTAAGGTCAAGCCCATAAGCAGCAAATAACTCACATTTATGGAGTGTCCTTTTTTCTTCAGAATTTTCATTAGTCAGCAGCTTAGCACAAATATTCCATGAACAATGAAATGGTCAAACAACATTTATGGCTGCAATAAGACTCAATCTTCAATGAAAAAGCAAAACAGATGCTCTAGACAAAATCAAATCGTATGATTCATTTTCATGGTGTCATGGGATAAACTTAACGGATTGGGTAGTGCTCCGTACTAATGAATCTTGAGACTGCCATAAATATTTTGATAGATAAAACTGGACTACAAGGCCACCATTGGTTCACTTGGATTCAAACAAAAAGCTACATGGAAAACGACCAAGTGAACACTCTAATTGGTCACTTTTTAAGAGTCAATTTGGAAACTTTGAAATTGATTGAATCGGCTAAATTTGTCAAATTATGAGAAAATTATATTTAAAATATATTGTATTGATAATTTTAAGAAAAAATGTATGAAAATAGTTAAAGTGTTCCTCTAAACTAATTTAGTCAATTCAACCAGAAAAAGTAACCCAACCTAACTACACAAACTTTGTGTGTGAAATTAAAACTTATATGTTTTGTATAAAAGTGAGTGATAAACCGAAAGTATGAGTTATGAAACGAGTTTTGAAAGTTTTTATGAAGTAAATGAAGCAGGATAGAATGATAGATGTTCAAACTCTATTTTGCTGGGATTGGAGACCTTTAATTTTCTTTTTATCACAAAAGAGAACATATATTATCCTAAATATCTGTAAAAACTACACCTTAATTTTTACTACGTGAATATTTGCTTTAATTTGTTAACATTTGCGAAACAATGAATATATACACATTACATAAATTAACTATATTTGCATAAGAGTTTTTACCACTTTTAGCTCCCGACTATTTTGAATTTATCCTTTTTATCTTTATTTTCTTTCTTTTCCTTTTAGCGGTGATATCATGTATCAATTCATGTTAACCAACCCCAATATCTTTTGGGACTAAAGCTTGGATAGTTGGATGTTGTTGTTATTGTTGTTGTTGTTGTTGTTGTTGTCATTTGATTATGGTGCGAGAGACATTTTTAGTGCTCCACATCAAAATTTTCTGCATTTAGTCCCCTTAGTATGCAAATTGATATATTAATCATTCGATTATAATTTAAGAAGAGTAAATGGGGGACTAAAAGTGTCACTGCGATAATAGTTAAACTGTTAAAGGACAAAAAGTTTTACTTTTATAAAAGCCCAATTATCGAAGGATTAAAAATGAAAATATTCAAAATTGAGTATAAAAAATGTGAAAGTTTAAAAGTGTCAAAAATTCATTGGTGTAAATAGCGGGAGTAACCGATTCTTTGTGTGAGCGCCACTTTTTTGGACAACTATACATTTTGATCTCGACCCCGAATGCAAACTGAAATTTGGATGGAGGTAAGGGATAAAATCTCACCCCTCAATTGATATCATCAATCAATTAAAGCTTGGCCAAAATCAAACTCATTCCCTATTTAGGCATTTTTAGGGGATCAAAACACATTGTACATTCTTTTAAAAGGTCCACTTTGTTTTCCCTCTAAAACGTCTATCTTAAATGAAATTCTAAATGTCTTTATTTTTATCTTAAAAGTAGATAAATCATATTTTTGATAAATCATAATTAGACATGTTTGTAGACTCAGCCCATTACTACTCTTATATAAAAAAATCCCCTATATATAATGCGTGTGCAATGTATGCAATTAATTTAGAAAAGATTTAATTTATTGGCAGTGATATGATATACTCCGTATGATGGATCTACTTCAATATTTAAAATTGGTTAAAGGATCAAATAAGTCTTGAACTAACTTAAAAAGTGCAAATCACCCTTATATAGAAGACTCTGTTTGGCCATAATCATTTGGGGTGGTTCCCGGTGGAATATTTTGATGAAAATTATTGAACATCTTCTTCATTAAGTCTAGTTTACCCATACGAAATTTCAGATATAAATTCAACCGAGAAGACAGTCAAATGATTTTCTGAAATGTACTGTGCTGTTGAACTACGCAGTTATCTTCAAAAATTCATTTGACTGCCTTCCAGATTGAATTTTTAGCTGAAATTTGGTATGCGTAAACTACACTTAATGAAGAAGATGCTCAAAAAAATTAATCAAAAAATTCCACCGGGGACCGCTCCAAATGGCGACGGCCGGATAGAATCTCTTATATAAGAGGTGATTTGCACTTTTTAAGTTAGTTTAAGGACCTATTTGATCCTTTAGCGCGCCTTTAAAATTTTACAATAGTTTCTTAACCATGATCAGATAATTCTAGCTTTAATGCTCACATGCACATTTATTAATTCTCTTAAGAAGATCAAATAATAACTTTTCCCTATTTAGTTAAAGATAGTGAATCACATCTTACATAAGTTACCTTTATACCGTAGTACTCCGTATTTCTTAGTAAGAAGTTTTGAATTCAAGTAATGTTGGGGTGAATTTGTCAATGAAATTTATATTCTCAAGAATATAAACAAGTTTCTGGGTCTGAGTAGTATTATGGACCATACTTAGTGTACACAACTTGTACACAAAACGTGTACACTGTCTGTGTACACAGACAATTTGACATGAAATCATGTCTCTTTAAAACAAATTGCCTGTGTACACAGACAACTAGGGGATTTTTGTGTACAATTTGTGTACAAGTCATGTACACTAAGCATTTTCCTAGTATTATATCCCGTTTGATAACATTGAAATCAGTTAATTGACTGGTTCTGCTGAAATTTATGAAATTCTGGCTGAAGAGGCTAGATTGACTGATTCTGCTGATTTATGAAAACAATATATTTAAAATAAATTTTATTATTAAATTTAAAAAAAATATGAAAAATGTTAAAATGATTTTTTACGGTAGCTTTAATCAATACAACCAGAAAAGTAATTTCGATTTCACTTTTTCTTATTATTACACAATTCGGCATGCAAAATAAAAGATTATGTGTTCCGTGAAAAAATTTGATTAATAATCTATTAAGCCGAAAACGAGGATTACCAAGGAGACTCTTAATCTGACGAAGTGGGGATCACCTCGTGTTCATAAAAAAGTGAAAGATACTCATTCATTTTTTGAAAGGATACTCATATACGGAGTATATTATAAAGTGGTGTAAGCACGTTTGATTAATTGGTTCGATAGCTCGTAAGGTTATTTTTTTAATTTGTAATAATTAAGAGGTAATAATTAAGTAATTTTGAAAGTATCTTTTGTTGTGACTTGTGATCTTTAAAGAGTTTTAACTTTAAACTACGCATAAAAAATAAAATAAAAAATAAAAAATAAAATAAAATATATATCATTTTTTTACATGATGAACATTAATTCAAATTTGATAAATACCATAAAGTAAATTAACCAAAAGACAAGCCGAGATTCAAGATAAAAGTAAACCAGGACAACATGGATCACAGACCATTGGACCAAGAGATGTTTGGACATTGATATGGATAACAGTTGGGGCAATTTGAATTTGCATCCCACTTTATTAAGCAAATTGGGACTTTGCACCTCAATTTGAAAAATATTTGTTTTTGCACCTCTAACCCCGTATAAAAAGACAAAAATGTTCCACCATTAATAATTACGTTGGCCTTCAACATATTCATAATTGAGGAGCATTTTTGTCTTTTCATATGAGATTGAGGTGCAAAAACAAAATTTCTTAAAAACGAGATGTAAAGTTCAATTTTAACAATAAAATGGACTGAAAACTGAAATTATAACATACCCGGAGTAACAGTTTTTATCTAACGGAATTTTGAAACAAAAAATAGGATGGCTTAACTTGGTTGAATGTAATCGCTGCTTCTCTTTTTCAGAAAATCCAACAAACTCATGATTTGTTTCGCTCAAATATTAACCATGGCCAAACGGTCCCGAATGCCACGAAACACACCATGAACAGCAATTTGGGAAGGAAATTTTGTCCATTTGCTCATCATCTTATTTTTCACGGTGATGAAGGAATGAAGTAAAGTAAGAATTCAATCGTGGCGACAAAGAACATCATCTTTCATAATCAGGAACTTTTTCCTCGGAACATATATTCACGATCAAAACCTCTTGTCTCGCTAAAACTATTCTCATTGTTCGTCGTATGTGATCGGAATCGGAGACTGGGTGTCCCTTAGTTATTATCGCCGGAGCATTTTTGCGGTGTTCCAAAGGTTGTAGCTTTCGGGCATTCATGGGTGATCTTAGAGAGCCCGTCGCGGTGGAACGGAGACCGGTCCCGCGAATACTATCACTGTCGCCGACGGCGAACCCGGACTCGTTTTCAATAGGGCAGGAGCGTTGGACCGCGGCGGAGAAAGTCTCCCAAGGCATCCTTCACAAG